CCACTGACAGGAATGCATAAATGGATGAGCCGAAGAAAACTGGCAGAAGTGGGGCTCCAACGACCCTCCTTGTGCGGCAAGGACAAGCCCCTTCTCTTCCATCTTCTTTGCATTCTAGGAGAGGGTAAATAGGATTACCAGCTGCCTTTCTCGAACGTCCCCTCCTGTACTCTGCTTTCGAGAACCTTGGAACCAGAGGGTGTCCTGACAAATTTTGCTTGGAGTGCACATGTCTGCAGTTCAGCTGCACTTGTCATATCATTTTAGACTCCCAGTCATGTTCTATTTACTTCTTTGGCAATAACCCTGCGCAGGAAAATACATGTTCCACTCTATGTTATGCTCATCTCTAGATTGTCATGCCAGATTTCTCCCCCTCCTTTGCCCATGTTTAATAAGAAGAGGAAAAAGAGAAATAGCTTACAGTTCCTGAGTGCTTACGTTGGGTCAGGCACGGTGCTGAGCACTTCATGTGCCTGATCCCTTTCAGTCTTTACATTGAAGAATGAAGACACAGAGGCACAGAGAAGTCAGTTCATTAGTCCAGGGTCACACAGCTGGGGGTGTGCAGGGCGTGGGGGGGCTCTGACTCTGCATTGTTGCCTCTCCTCTAAGTATCCACCCCGAGAGCCGCTCCAGGTTCTACCGGGGGCCTCCGACAAGATGGTATATAGAAGCAGAGGGAGCATCCCTCCTCCAGAGAAAAAGAATCAGGAAAACTGAAACCTCTGTGGCCTTCTTTCCAGAGTCAGAATAAATGTGAACTGCACTTTAAGGCACTATGACTGGGCTCCTGAACGATACCATGGCTAGTACTGTTTTCCAGGCTGACATCTGGCAGGCTCTCTCTCTTTACTCTCAGGCTAACAATTAGATTTAAATCCCTGACAGGACTCTAACTCTAATCACCCTGGGGGGTTCTAGATTTCTTTACTATTGCTTGTGAAGATTTCATTTTTATTTTTATTTATTTTTTATTTTTTTATTTTTTTAAAGATTTTATTTATTTATTTGAGACAGAGAGAATGAGAGACAGAGAGCATGAGAGGGAGGAGGGTCAGAGGGAGAAGCAGACTCCCTGCCGAGCAGGGAGCCCGATGCGGGACTCGATCCCTGGACTCCAGGATCATGACCTGAGCCGAAGGCGGTCGCTTAACCAACTGAGCCACCCAGGCGCCCAAGATTTCATTTTTAAAAAAACCCTTTGAAACGGTAAGTTACACTCAGCAAACAGCTTTTTTTTTTTTTTCTTTTAAATCTATTATCTTGTTGGGTCTTTTGAAGAACACATGCTGCTCTCTCTCTCCTAAACTTGAGATGTCAACCCTTATTTTTATCTCCAATTTGAAGAATAAAAATACCCGGGAGGACCAGAGAGGGCTGGCTCCTAAAATGCAGCTTTCATCCATACCTGTGTCACTGCTAGGCTCATCTGGACGGCATCCAGGCCCTTGGGATCCATTGACTCGGGAATTTGGGTTTTTTTCTGGTGTGTGTGTGTGTGTGTGTGTGTGTGTGTTTATAAACTCGTTTTCTACGTATTGTACAAATTATCGTGGTGGCTTTGCTTCTCAGGGGAAAACTAAAGCATTGTGCTTTATATGAACGAGTGAATCTCTCAGCCTCTGTGCCAGTTGCTCTGAGCAAGGCATTTAGAGGCATGGTTTTCCTTAGAGCCGTTTACCCCCCACCTGACACCCACGGCAATTTGTGTCAGCACCGAAGTGCTTGTGATCACGAACGCAGCTTTTCTCTGTACAGGGGTACCTGACCCAAACGGGCACTTGGGAGTCCTTCGAGGAACAGGACAGAGTCATATAAAGAAGGAACTGGTTCAGGTGGGGATCGCCAGCCTCATTAACATGCATTAAAGCAACTGAGTAGCCTCCCGGGGGATCCGGTCACTCAGGAAAAATCTGTTCTGAGACCTTCCTATCACTACTTTATGGCTCCTTTGGAGGCTCCCAGTTACTTTTGAGGAGGAACTTGTTGGGTCTCTTTCCTAAGTCTAGTCCGTTCATTCAGCAAGGAAAAATGACTCTCACCAAAAGGCCCAAGGATGAGGTTTGGTAATTCTTCCAGTCAAACCTTTCAGCCAAATGTCTTCCAGGAGACTGTATTTAGTACTTTGCCGGAAACATAAAAGTAATACAAGAGCATTTAATTTTACTAAGTGTGATGCTTTTGAAAAAATAAATTTTTTTGGTAATCTCATTCACAATTCTTTTAGGCAATTAATAAATGTCCCACAATCAGCTTAAAGCGTAACGAAAAATTCCATGATTTTTCTGACAACTTTCTCTGAGTGAAAGTGAGAACAATTGATACATGTTGATGCTTTCATATATTTCCCAGCAGAGGATGAAGAGTGGCATTTTCTATTCCATTTAGTAACAGTCGTTACCAAAATAATCCCTATTGAAAGCCAGGCATACAGCTAAAGATATGAGGAGAAGTGGGCTCTATTGAATCCAGGATAACCAAATTCTTAAAAATCAAGATACATACCAATTCAACCGCAAGAATTAAACACTCGATAACATTGTAGTTAAAAAAGGTTTTCTCAGGTAACCAAATATATGCATCCTCTGGCTTGCGAAAATGGGGCTTAAGAACATTACATTCTAAAATGTCTGGTTGAACTGGGGGTGGAAATTCCCTGGAGAGTGAGAAGCATTCCTGGGGGGGGGGGGTGGAGTAGTAGACCTGCCACCACAGGACTCTCACCCAAGGCGGTGGTGAAACTCGTCCTACAACCAGTAGGGAATGAGGCGTAGCAGTGGAAGGGCAAAGATTCTAGTACTTTCCAGTTGTCCTCAGCATGAGAGATACCTCCCCACACAATCTGGTACATAGGCTGAAATTGCTAAATTACTATACATTTAAAAAGTAAATAAGTAGAGAGCTTCCATGGAAGACATACTCCGTATTTTAAGCAAATTACACTTAAATTTTGCCAACAATTCATTTGTTTAGGATGTCGAGCAGCTTATGTATATTGTCGGTCTAATCTTGAGGAATTTTGCAGGCAATTCAAAGAAAATCAGGAAGTAAAACAATAGTTGTCTTTTCTGGGAGGCAGGTCTTTGATCTAATAAGATTACGGTAGGAGGAGGATCCCAGAGCCTCACGCAGTGCCGTGTGTATTGCAACATCTGGAAGAGAATAGCAGCCGTTTTGAAGATCTGCAAATCTAGCAAGCACCCTGGCATCAAGACTGGATCAGACTGCAGTTTTCAGACTTCTACATCATTTCTCTCCAAACTGGACTCCTCAGCAAGCATTTCTCATCGTCCACGCTGGGAAAAGCTACTCGGTCCTCCACGACTGGCTATTATCAGAGCTGAAATGCTGCCACGTTCTAGGCAAATGACTGACTATAGGAATGGGTGCTCAGTGAGTGGGGTTCTAATGATTAGGTCCACTCCCACTTCTATGCAGTCGGTAGTGCTGTCTTCAACATCAAATAATACGTCCAATTATCCATAGCTGAGGGTTAAATACTTTATTCCCCCCTCTAACCCCCAGCTTTGGTGGATGGGTGCTTGAGCATGAAGCTTGTATGCACAAAATCAACACTGGGCATAGAGTTCCGGTCCAGCCTCGCGGCTCACACCACCGTCAACTGTGCTCAAACCTCTGAGCTACTGGTGATATCATGTCCTACATAGATGCTGTTACCATAATCCGGCATTTTCTAAAGCTGTCAAACTGAAGCCTTGAGCTGGAAAGGCGCCGCACAGAAGTGAAATCCAGTTGCATCTGCAAGCCTCCAGCTCCGTGGGAGTCCTAATCAGGTTGAGTACAGTTCCGTGCTACACAGAGCAGGCTGCAGTGCAGGAGGTAGGCCATTTGAATGCTTTCTGAACTCCATTAGTTACTCCTGCTGAGAGTGAAAAAGTCCTCCTAAATGCATAAAAAATTAAATTGCCTATGAGGTAAGAAATGAGATGGTACCTTGCTACCAAGTATTATTTTCCATTCAAACAGTCGACAGTCACACATACAACGCAGAATCATAGAGTACATACCTGCAAGGCATGCAGTGCCGACTGGGAATGCTGTGCTCAGAAGTCTAATGACATCTTATCATCTGGTAACAATCCCCTGACTTGGGCTTCAAGTTTACTTCCCCTCAATCCCCACCCCCACCCCAGATGGCACTCACAATCTCCATTCCAGGCTAGCTGAGGGTCAGGCCAGCCCGGGGGGACGTCAGAGATGCCTGGCGTCAGTCAGTGAGATCAGGAGGCCCAGGACCAGTCACAGCACGGAGGTGCAACATGGGGTGGATAGGACTACCGAGCGAGAGATGCACTTTTTTTTCCTCCCATGTTCCCTGACCTTGGCATCAGGTGGGTCTGGAACAGCAATTGTCTGGACATTTTGCCATCACATGCAACCTCTGAAGGCAGGCAAGAGCTAGCTTGAGAGCTGGGGAGACAGTGGATCCTTAGGACACCGTTTTGAGGCCCAGTATCCAGTTTTGCCCCTGAATTTTTAGTTACATCAGCCAATATATCCCATTTTTCTTAGATACAGGTTTTCTTTCACTGGTAATCAAAATAGTCCTAAGTGACCACCAGTTAAAAGGAAGAACTATTTTAATTTGCATCTCAGTCTTGGCAGAGTACTCTCTCCACAGGTAAGGAGGGGCACAGAGATGCGGGGAGGCGGCTTGCCAAGGTGCTCTGCTAGTCAGCAGTACAGCCAGGACCAGAAGCCAGGGCTCTTGCTTTCTCAGGTGACGTTCACACCAGACCGTGGGAAAATTCAACATGACAGACTTGTTTAATAAAACTTTTAGTTAAATTTTGTTCCAATTAAAAGTTTGCTCATTGGTTAATATACCTTAAAAAAGAATTTATAAATTAATTTTTTAAGTGATCCTTTGCATTGTTACTTAGAATATCATTGGACAACTTGAAGATACAATGAACTAAATTTCTTAGAAATGTGTTTGTGGTCTGCTTTAACAGCAACAGAAATAGCCCAACAAAATAGCTTAAAATGTTTTATTAAGTATATATAATATTACAGGGTAATATTTACAAAGTTATGTTTTTAAATAAAAAAAGTATCTTGGCAAAGATTGCAGATATTCAAAGCTTCAAACAGTGATAAATTGATTTAATACATATAAAAAAAACCTTTAACGGTAACACAGCTGTAAAACAACTTTGGTCTTTAAATCACTGCAAAAAATGGCTACTGACAAATAGCACACCTTTAATTGCTATGGAAAAAAGCCCCAAGAGAGGATCTCGCACATAGCAACACTGGAGTTTTCTTTATTTAGAATGGTTAATGGATATTTATATGATGTAGGATCTAAATCTCAACAATGGCTTTTTGTAAATAATGCTCCATTTAATAAAAACAGAAATGTTTCCTTCTCTCACCAACCCTGATAACAACACTTTTAAGATTCCACTGATGTCGCCTTACAGAGAAACTTATTACAAATGCTCTTTTTTTCAAAAGGCTAAATTTATGGGAAAGCTGGTCTTAAATGATAAGTAAGAGCTGTCAAAAGCCAAAGGCAGGAAAACTTTCTGTTCACTGCTTAGCTCTTAAAAGTTACCTGGATTATCCCTATTATCCACAGAAAATGACTTAAAAAAGGACCCCAGTGGGTGATGGCAGTTAGTGATTTTGAAAATAGGACACATGTGAAACTAAGGTTTCTAAACAAACTCTCCATTAAATAAAACATAATAAAAAGAGAAAGTGTTGCCCAACAATCCTTTCTCCGGTTTCCAATGGCATGTAAATGCCATTGGAGTATGTATTTTCATACACATCCCACAGATCTGTTTTTGAATACCCCTTTTAGGACAAAAAATATCTAGGTGATACTGGGCTTGATTCTTAATGAGATGGAGGAGTAAACGTATCACTTTTTGAGCTTTATTAACTCAAATCACAATTTGGTTGGTCATTTACTAAACTGACTATAGATAGCATCCTGGCATGAGCAATACTCTCAAATTTTGGGATAGCCCCATTTTTTCATTTTGACATTCTCAGAAATTTAAACAAAACGGACCTGGAGTTTCCAGGTGAAAAGTCATCACCTTTTAAGGTTTTCAGGGCATGTGAAATTTGTCAAAAAAAGGAAACGATCTAAATCACCCTACTGAAAATAGTGGGGAATCTGCATACAGCCAACTTTCAATCATCCAACTTACGCACTGAACACCTAATGAATGCAAAACACTGCAGGAAGAGAAAGGGGCAAATAAAAAAGCTCTTGCCATAACAGAATTTCAAAATTGAGAGAAGCAAGACAAAAAACCTGACAGAACTCAGCAGACACACATAAAGTACTAAGAAAGGTATAGAAGAGATGAAAGAGGCAGCGACAGAGATGGGGGTGAGCTTCAGATGAGAGCCAGGAGGGGAGGGAGGGCTGGAAGACAATGTTTTGAAGGAGACGGAAAACTGGATTTGGCCAAAAACACTGGAGAACTTGTTGCAAAAATGACAAGTGGTACTAGAGGATGTGCACTAAATAAAATCGAGTGTTAGTCAATGGCAAAAATTGGGATCATTGAGTAAAAAGCAGGTTGTCAGGGGGGTTGGGGACAGATACAGGATGGTCAAAACGTTGTTAACAATTCTAATTTGGTGTGACAAAAATTGCGAGCCACTGCAAGTCTGATTTAAAGTGAATGAACTGGCCCAATGAGGCCCAAGCAAGAGGGCTCCTGCTGATGTGGTCCCTTTTCCAGAGAAGCTGACAGCTAGTAAGAACAAGAGTTGATGTCACCTGGCATCTCTCCTGCTTCCTCTGTGTGTTGTCTAGGGCAGTGAGTGCCTCAGAAGACAGTGTTAAAGAGAACACAAAGGGTGACGGATAGGTCCCAAGACTGAACCCCAAATAAATGAGAGCTTATTGCATATTAAAAGGTACAACTTGAGTTTATAAAAAAGTTTGCTATAAAGATTTTCATGCCTTACTTTTTCTTAATAGAGAATAGGTATCTGGATCTTTTTCATCTGTTTTTCTCCTCCTTTCATCAAAATTGATTTCCAAAGTAACAAACAATATTAGTAAAATATATTTTCAGAGGAAAAAACAGCAAGAGCCATCAGATTTATATAAAGGAATACAGCTCCCTCTACATATGATAATATTTTGGACAGCAACACAATTAGGAAGAAAATTTTTTTTTTTTTTTTCCAAGAGCTGTCTTCGTAGTCTGCTCAGTTTTCTGAGAAGCATCAGCAGGTCATAAGGTTTGCCAGAGGCAAACCACTTGGTCCCAACATGAAATATGACAATTAATTTGGCATAAAAGAGGCACATGGGAACATTCAGTGGACTAAGAAATAACTATTAGTAATGTAACTACAGATATGAATGTCTTACTATTACACAGACAGGAAGAATTACTAGTATTTTTAGAGGGTATTGTGAGCAGTCAAAAAGCTTGGCAAATTACCTAGAAGTTTTTGAAGTTTTAAGTGATCAAATATTCGCATCAAATATAATTCCACCCAATAAAGATCTTTTTTAATGTTGTTACTAAAAGCATGAAATTAACATCTGCTCTCCTGTAGGTATCCTGCTGTTGTCCGTACAGAAGATGCACGTGCCTATCTTACACTGTGCGCGCGCCCGCACACACACACACACACCCGCGAAGGAAGAAAACGAGTGCTAAGAATCTAAAAGTACTCCAGGCGATCACGACTGTCAGAAACGTTAATTTTCTTCTAACGGGGGTAGGAGATGTGGGGGGTTTTGTTTTACTTTCCGATCTTAGAGTGAGGGGCTTACAGAGGCAGGACTACACAAGGAAGATGAGTGCTTATCATGCAACACAGATACAATGGTAACAAAACCACCCTGTCGTGGGGGGGCCTGTCGGCCTGACGGTGACACACATTATGTTGCCATGCAGGAGACTCATAGTTCAAATCTCAATCTTGGTTTTTCATGCCCCAGATCAGAAAAGTGAAGAGACACTGTAGGTTGTGCCTTCAAATCCGAGGAAGGAAATACATATGTTACAACCATCGCTATTTTTGCTGAGAAGTGTGAACATAGTTCTCTGAGAATAAGTCTGGCTCCTTTCTACAATGATGCTACCGTGTCACTGGACCATGTTCAAAGAGGAGAAAAGGTGCTACATCTTGTACAGCAGAAGCAAATAACAGGTGGACAAGACAGGATTTAAAGGGTTGTGTGAATAAAAGAAAAACACATCCATCAATAAAATTACTCTAAATCTGGAAAGGATTCATTACACTGTATGTCGAAGGAAGAAATGTGTGAATGGCAACCCCCAAGAATGAAGACCACAATCTCCTGCCGGATCACATCACACGCAGGCAGCATTCAAGATATTCCCAAGCAAACTCCTGTCTGTTCTTAAATTTGCTATTCCCTTGACCCAGAAGTGGTACAGACCGTATTCGGCTAACACCAGCCATAACTGCCAACGTGGCCGTGAACCCAAGTTTGCTAAGGTTCTACAGAAGCCACTGTTCTTCATAGAGCTCTGTGGGAAACCACGAGGGTAGTGCCAGGTAATTCTCACCTTGAACCAATTTAAACTGGTGACCTAAAGTCAAGAGACCCTGGGATCTGAAAGGCATCATTCTTGGAAGTTGGCCACTCTACTCTTGCCCCTAATTGAGTAAAAATAACAACAAAAAACTGGATCTCAATTGGGCACACAACACAGATGACAATTCTTTTATTAACTACATTACAAATGCTTTGAATAAAAACTGTAACAATAATCATTTAAGGGTCAATGATTTACTTTTTTCCACAGATGAGAACCAGTTATCTTTCTTGTTCTCTTCTCCTGAACAGTGAACCAAGGCCATGGTGCTCAAACACAATTGTACTCCTTTCACGTCTTACTACTTTCCAAATCAGAGTCCGTCACTTCACTTCAGTTACTCTGGAAAATTGAAAAATGAACATATAATCACTATTCATGTCTATTTTCTATGCACTAACAAGTTGATGTATTTTAAAAAACTGGAATTGTCATATATACGATATCTAAAAATAAAGAAAAAGTATTTAATCTTAGATTTGCAAAGGTCACAAACCCGGCAAATCACCAGCCTTTTTAGTTGTAGTAAGTAAAAGGCCAATGCCAAATGAAAATAAAAATCAGCAAAGTCTGGTAATCTCAGTTTGCTAGGTTAGCTCTTAAGCCAAGAGATGTTGATTTTTCGAAGCAGAAGATATTGATCACAGAATAATATTATACCCCATTCATTTCAGACCTCTACCATTCACTTGATGTAAGTGAAATAAAATGTTGATTTGGAGCAAGAGGAAGAGAAAATGGTACTGTGGTCACTAGAAGGTTAGTCTGAAACTCACTTACTGACCAGGCAGACACACTGTGAGCATCAAGCCCACCAGAAACACAGGGTTTTTGTTTTTGTTTTTTATTTTAAAAGCCAACAAATTCTAAACAGATAAATATTAGCAAAATTAAGGGAGTTTCAAAGGTCATCATAGATTTTGTGTACTATGAACACACAAAAACTACTCTATCTACTGATACAGTGGTTCTAAAAAAAGGAAGAGGCACTCGAGGCTCTTGTACTAGTTTTCTGAAAACAAAAGGAGCTTCATTTCCTCATACAGCTTCAGAAGACTGACACCACAGCAGGAAAAAAGCAAAGAAATTAAAAAATAAACCACAAGAATGTAAACATGGACAAACCATGCCACAATTCCAGGGACTGGTTCTTTTTTAAAATTTTTTATTTTTTAGGAGGGTGGTGGTTGGCAAACAAAACACATGTCTTTGTAATAAAGGCTGTAGCTGTGACACAAACTTACAAAAGTGGAATTGCTCTGTGATTCCTTGTCAAACATGGCCTAAGCCTTGTGTTAAACTCTGTCCACCAACACATTATCAGCGTGTTTTTAATCTCATGCAAAAACTAATTGCACTCGGGGGAACACAGCCTCTTGTGTTAAAGGCTGCACTTTGCCACAGAGGTGAGGAGGTAGGTCACGAATGTTAAAGCATTAAAATAGCAAACTATTTACATGATCAAGGAATGACTGCAAATATCAAAGGTATGAAGAAATTTTTGATAAGATAAAAACAAAGTTATCACACGTTAACAGAACTGAAGTATCAAAGCATCTTAAGGTAAAATCAAAATGAATACTTATAGTACTCAGTATCTCCGACTTATTTTTAAAAACAAGTATGTCCTTGAAATATTCAATAAAAATTAGAAGTTATTAGCCCAGAGTTCCAAAACAAGAAGCAAAAGCTCGACTGACTAAACATTTCTCTCTTAAATCCTCTCCCGAAAGGACAGAACTGAGTCCTGCTTAGAAAAGCAGAGATATTAAGTCCCCATGAATTAAATGCAACAAATCGCCAACATAAGCACAAAAGAAACTCTGTCAAGATGATAAAGATTTGTGCCAGATTATCTATGTGTCTTATAAAAAGCATTTAAAAGTTAGTCACCAGATACTGCAGCTGAAAAATGTTTTTCAAAAAGCAGTAATTTCTCTTTGCTATGAGCAATATGATCGGAGGGTCTGATTAGTGACACCCTACAGCTTTTCTAGCACTTGTTTTGTAACTTTAAGGAGATTTAAGTTTTATAAATCAAGAAATGCAGGCCTTTATGATTTGACAGTGTCCCTTTTACATAAAAAAAAAGAGCACACTTTCAAGAAGCCATTTTACTTCTTTTCATTGTTCATATTTTAACCAACTATAATTGTAGGTGCACTTTATACTTACCATCATTCATCATTCCTTTTGATTCTTTAAATGCTAAGAATTAGTAACAAGCCAAGCAGGCAGTTAGTAAGATTCCACAATTAGAAATCATTTCTAAATAAATAAATACCCAGTAATATCATGCTAACTATTCCACAGCTATAAAGTCAAATTAGTTTTAACTCTATTCCTTTATTACAAAAGCCTTTCTGTGGATCATACCCACAGACCCCACAAAGGAAACAAGGTCAGTTGAGAACACAGATCTAGACTTAGGGAGAAAGAAAGTGAGATGCTTGGGTCTCACTCCATGGTGACAGCCTGAATCTGAAATTTATAAATCAGAAACTGAAATTAATTGAGATTCTTCTCTATTGGGGGTGTTACACTTCATCTTGCCTAATATAAGGCAAAGGTCCCCTCACCCAAATATCGTTGGGCCAGAGCAAGCAACTACTGGAGAGATACTGAACAGGGCATTTTTCTCAGAGGTAAGAACATTACAATAGCAATACTCTGAATAATCAAGAAAAGAGGGGTCAAGGAAAAACAAAAAACAAAAAACAAACAACAAACTAGATTTTTCCCAAGGCAAAAAGAGCATTCTAACTGCTTTGGGAGGCTATTCAAATTATGATCAGGTAATGGATCAAGAAGAATATACAAGTTGGTAATAACCACATACCATTAAGGGGCTCCTCTACAGCTTTCTGGAAAATATTTAAAATATATTTACGTAAAAATGGAATTTATTTCATGTCCTTTTATACTAAAATTTATATACGCTAATATTTAAACTATATAGTTAAGAGTGAATCTTAAAGTCTAAAAACAAAATAAGGCAATAAGGAAAAACAAAGCTTGCCAAGCTTACCTAACAGTTTAATAATAACTGTATTAATCTTAATATTTTTTCTATGCAGAATTTCCCACCCACTCTGCCTCTTTTAGTTCAAGAAATTCTAACTTCTCAAAAAATGCAAACATAAATAGTAATACAGTAATAAATAAAAGAGTTAAACAAGAGATGAGACCAAAGCAGAATCATTTCAAATCATGCAAACTGAATTCAGTAACAAGGAAAGAAAATGTGTTAAGATGTAAGGGTCCAATGGTTGGATTATCTCCAACAGAGGCACTTTAAACACTGCTGGCTGTTGGTGACCAATGACTACAGCACCCATCTTTTTAGCATAAACACTTGTGGTAAGATTCACCCCTAGGCCCTCTTGCCTCTCAGGCATGTCTTCTGAGGCTCTTCAGGCCTAAGGAATATATGTAACCTCCCACTTCCTGCCACAGACAGGAGTCTCGATTTTGGCCTTCCAGATAGAGCTACCATTATTCCTTTCTAGGAAGGTGACCTCTCCAGACCTTCTTTCAACAAAATAGTTCTTGGGCCTGTCCCATGACCAATCACTACATGGGTTTTTTTTTTTTTCACGTGCTCATTTATCCGTTTCAGTTTATCTCTTAAATTTGCTCCTTTTCTCGGAATTTTCTTAGATAGCTTATTAAGGTATCCAAGACACAGTGAAAACTACAGTACAGTATGGAGGAAGAAAAATACTTATAAAATGGGGGAAGAAGGGAAATAGATTCTAATTCAGAACAAATATGTTCCAGCAATATCTACATTTATTTTATAGATTTTTAATGAAATCAATTTCACATGAATCCCTCTCCCTCATTTTAAAGCCTTCTGAAATATCACTTTGTATGTGCACATCAAATGGAGCCAACAGGTGAGGCAGCTTCCTTCAGCAGAGATAATAACCATTATTCTTACACATGACCTTTCCAGTTCTGAGAAAGTGAGAAGTCACTTGAGAAGTCAGCACAATCTTAATGAATCACTGATTTTATTCTATTGCAACTAAAATGACCAAACAGGTTTTAAAAGAAAGTTGGATCTATTCATGCAAAGTCATGAAATGACTTCCATATTCTCTTAATCTGATGTCATACCACTAAACAGAGAGCAAAAGGCTCAGTATCTCAATTACCATTCCTCAGTCAAAACCATCAAGTGGTCATTTCCAATTCATTTAAGAAAGTTTAACTTACCCTAGGAGGTTGTATAGTCTTCTGACTGGAAGCTGATATAATTAAAAATTGAGAAAATGAACTGAATAAGTGAAACAAATAAAGGCAATATAATGTTTCATTTCAATGACTATATAATGATTAATTGCAAATGATTATATACATTGATAGAATAAAATGATCAAATGATCCATCTACATCAAATAAAACATCTACATTCTCTCATTTGTACATGCTATTATTTCCCCCAAATCAGTCATTTGTTACACTTCTTGTTGAAAGATGCTATCATCTGTTCACCCCCACTGTGAACTCTATACCCCTCCCCTACTCAGCCCAGCCAGAAAGTGGACAGAATGTAGCAATGACCAATCTCCATGCCCTACTCCATTGCCTGTCCTTAGCTCACTGTTCTTGATCCTTGTGGCCCAGTCTTTTCTTCTGCTTCCATCTTTCCCGTTTTCAAAGCTCCGAACAGCTAACAAACTAAAGAAAATATTCAGATCCTTCTGAGTTCAATGAATTATTCTAAGCAGCTAGTTTTAGCCACAATCAACTTCTTCTCTATGTATTCCTTCTCAGCTTTCCAAGTCACTCTTGCCACTGCTTCTGAACAGACTGGTTAATGGAGATGAAGGAATACAGGGCATGAAGAAAGTAACAAAGGGAAAAAATATTACTCTAGCTGCACAGGGAAAAATAGAGAACTTCCTTACAAAGCCAAGTGAGAAGGTCCCAGAGCAGCTCAAGCCAGTCCTAAATACAGAATGAGTCCTACATATATAAAAGCATCAACCAGCAACATCCTGTGAGCCAGTTGGTAGGAGAGTGATGTTACAGGACAGTCAATTACACTGTCCCGGGGGTTGGATGGAAGCCTGGATTTGACTGTGAGCAGACTCAGGCAAGCCCCAGGGATTGCGCTAGGGTTCTGTGCGCTCTACTTCCTGCCACTCCTCCTCCATGCCCACCCCTACAAAGCTTCCGAAGCCGATGGGCAATGGGAGTGAGACGCTACCCAAGGGCAGCCAATGTACATACTAGCCAGAAGCTGACAGGCTCTCTCAAACAGAGACCACAGCGACTGACTAGCCTGAAAAGTTTCTCTCTCCCACTGGAGCATGAAGAGGAGAAACAGAAAGAAGACCAGAAAGTTGGTGATGGAAAGGAAGGTGACATAGAGACAGCAAGCCAGGAGAGAAGCTCAAGGCTTAAAGACAAAGGTAAGAGAAACTATCAGTGAGAAGACAAAAATAAAATACAAGATAAGGCCATAAAGAGGAGGATAAGCTTGTAGGGAAAGAACCAGAGAAGAACTCAATAGTATAACTGGCAGATGGGCATTGACAAACTCCTATTACTTAGAGGGCAACATGGTGGCTCAGTTCTTAGAAATGCATCGGATACTTCCAATTCCTAAACTGCTTACTGTTCCAGTCCCTATGAGGCCTGGTTGTGTCCCAGCTCTCAGGAGATTCCCTTCTCTGTTAGTATCATGTGTGGCTTTAAAGTAAAACTCCCTTGCTAGAGGAACTTGGGGAGTGATATGGTCCTGGCAGCCAAAGAAGGAAACCACTTTTTAAAGTAGTATGGAGTGGGATGCCTTGCTGGCTCAGTCAGCAGAGAGTGTGACTCTTGATCTCAGTGTTGTGAGTTCGAGCCCCATGATGGGTGTAGAGATTACTTAAAAAATAAATAAAATCTTAAAAAAAGAAATAGTAGTATGGAGTGAAATGGGTTGGGAATATGGGTGAGTCACACTTAGCAGCCTCCCAAAGAAGCCAAGCAGAATTACAGAACTTCATTAGGGATCATCATGGTAGTTACATGTATATACAACTTACTTCAACTAAACCATGCCCTCTATGTTCTATCAAGGAAAAGAAAACAGCTGTGAAAATTTCTGACTGGTGGTGTGAAGGGTCAGAGGTTAAGATTTTAGACCTACATTTTTGAGATCATAAATTTATTTATTAGGATTATTATTAAGAACTTCCAAGTAACTCCTTTTCTGTTTGAATAATGTATAAAGAATAGTTTCTGAGTTCCAATTCTCAGGTCCAAGGAACATCACATTTTGGCTAGACCATTCTGAAAAAGAGCTCTATAAAGAACAATGATTCAGAGGGATAAAAGTCAGCTGTGCTCCCACTACCAGTATAAAACCCAAAAGTGCAGAAGTTAATTTCACTTGAGCCAACCTTCTTCCATAGGCATATGATTATCGTGACAAAATTACTATGGTTTATCTGCTACTATAATGGACCTAAGGCACTGACAGCTACACATATGTATGTAGTTAAACATACATATACACAAATATATATGTTAACTATATAGTTTATATATATTTATAAATATATAACACACTTTATATAATATATATTAATATATTATTAAATACAAACATACTTATATACAAAACTATTATACATAAAATATATTTGTTTTATTTATTTTTTAAACCACAAGCCTTAAGGATTCCATATAAGCTCCCTTGCAAGGTTTCTTCTTGATTTATTCTTCTCTCCCTGAAACATCTGACCACACAGTATAAATGTATTTCTAGGTTTTAAATTTTCAGGAATAATTTTCCTACTGATATCAGACTCACCTCTCCTTAACAATGGGCTATAAAATATCACTGAATTATATATATATATTCCATGTCATTCTAAAACAACTAGGATGTTGTGATAAATATGGTTTTTATGTACTAGTAGGTTGATTTGTAACAAAACACGTTTATATGCACTTATACTGAACTAAGTGGTAATGACTTTAACAAAAAATGAACAAGTACCGACTCTTATAAATAATGGATATTAATGATGCATACAAACAACAAGCCTAACTCTAGTGAGTTTAGTTAGTTCTATTTAATTTTCTGTATGATCTCACACTGTTATTATTTCTAGCCCCAATTTCATTTTGCAAAACTTAAATGCTTCCAGTAAAAAAATGAAATCCAACACGGTTTAAAAAGACCATAGGAAATGAAATTTAAAAATCTTACTTCTAGAGTAACAATTAAGGCTACAAATTTAAGCTTGGAAATAATAAAAACAACAAAATTTAAAATTCTCATAGGGCCATCAACTTACTCTTAAAGAGTCAGCTTGGATTTTAACGACAAAAACAACAACAAACTGAGGATTTTATTGCCTTGAAGTCAAGACACATTCATTAAGCTTTTCCAAAACAGAGCATCAGCAATGAGTAAAATTTATTTTGGAAACATTTACAATTTTTACCTCCTGATAAAAATGTTAAAATTTGCAACCTTAATGTTACGTATACTCACACTTACACATTCAGATTATTTTAAGAAAAACACATCAATTTTCCTATTTTACCACATTATCTAAAGAGCAACTTTCCTGTACCTTTTCTCTTCTTGCCCTTCAACTGACCGAAGGCGTGCCTCTGAATTCTGGCATCAGACAAGTTGATTTGGAAAGTTAATTTAGAATATTCTCAAAATGTCAATAAAATTGGACTAAATTCTTAACTTACATGTGATGTATTTATATATGCTAAACTATGATAAAGAAAAAATAATTTGGGGACCTTTTCAAGATTTCACTTTCAGTTTGATTTTTAAGGTGAAAACAGTATGTGTGTAATTACAGTGGTTTCACAAGCTTCTTTGGATGTAAACGATGGAGAAGGGAGAGAGCAGGGCCCAGGAGGTGGCAGTTAGCTGATGCCTATTTCCACCTGAGTCAGCATTCCAGACCTGTTGGCAACTCTACTGAGCATGATCCTTTAGACATGGAAGGCTTGGGGGAGCATGGGAATAAAAGGGAGTACAATCTAGATAATGAGGAATAAAAAGAACAGAGAGCTGACTATCAGTCAAAGACACATAATACTACATCATGTTGCAGGTCACATACTGTTCTCAAGCATTCATAAGAAGCAACATAACCAGCAGTGTCTTATTCAAGAACCACACAAATGGTGATTAGAATACTCAACAAAAATAGAATATGTATCAACATTCATAATGTGATGCTTCTGACAGCTACTAAATGAACACCATTCTGCTGAGAAATCTTCATTGTGTTTTATGGACTTATGAGTCACAAACTAAGAAAATTTCATTGAGGAAACGACTCTGACTTAAGAACACATGAACCAAAGATAGGGAGATTTTAGTTAAGTATTTTAATTGTTTATCTAATAAGCATTAACCAAATAGGGACAAAGAATATATAACAAAATCGAACTCATTCATCAGTCAGCAAAAACTGAAGTTCAGAAACAAAGGTAAAATTTCTTTGAGAGTATTATGTAAGTCATATGGAAAATTATTTGACTATAACAATTCAAGGTTTATATTAATTTTTGTAAACACAGTAAAGTTCACCTAAAGCAGAAACACTGATTTTTTTACTCCATTATTTGGCAACTTTTGACTATTTTGACAAATGCTTAAGAGTTTGCTTTGCTTTACTTCTTAAATAAAAAACAAATTTTTTTAAAGGGATACTAATGTAAACCAGTTACAGGGAACATTTTTAGCTTAAATAAGACAATATACTAGCTAAAAGCACCTGCCTCTATATATAAAAAATAAGAATTTATATAGAAATCTGTTATTTGAAAATTGGCAGATTAAATATGAAGTTCAGAAATAATTAGCCAACTCCCCACTTACTAACAATTGATTTTAAAGGTAGTAAAAACAACATGGATGGATCTAGGGGGTATAATGCTAAGTGAAGTCAGTCTGAGAAAGACAAATACCATATGATTTTACTCATATGCAGAATTTAAGAAACAAACAAAGGAAAAAAGAGACAAACAAAAAATAAGATTCTTAAATATAGAGAACAAACTGGTGGTTGCCAGAGGGGAGGTGGGGGGGGAATGTGTAAAACAGGTGATGGGGATGAAAGTTAAAGAGTACACTCATCTTGATGAGCACTGAGTAATGTATAGAACTGCTGAATCACTGTATTGTACACCTGAAACTAACATAACACTGTATGTTAATTATACTGGATTTTAAAAACAAATTTTTAAAAAGGTAGTAAGGCCTTAAATTTTAAAACTCCATGTTTTTATATTAGTTTTAACTAAAAATATTTTAAAGTCAAGTAAAGTCAGAGGACACTGTTCTTTAACAAAAGTGACAGATTTTGAATTTCAACATGTCTACTTCGGGGTGTCAAGGTCTGCAAACAGTCTGCAAGAACAGCAAGTAACAAATAGGGTCTCTGTGAAAGAGCTCTCATCGAACCAATGGGCCAATTAAAAATCCCTTCCTATTAAAATGAATCCTCAACATTCTCTCCTTTTAGGTGGTATAAAAAAGTCTATACATTTTAAAACAAAGCCATTTTCTTTTAAGCTAGTCTATAATCTAAACTTTTCATAAATTCATATTACTTCTACCCTCTTTCATCACCCCCAAATCATTCCAATTTTAGTATTTTATTATTTAAAAAATATAGCTGCATTCACGGTATTTTCTCATTTTTGGAAACACTGATAAATTTCTTTAGTCATAAATTGTAAGAGCCAAGCAAAAGAATTTTCCAAATTATATATTTGAAGTTCTTGGCATAGGCTAACAAAAATAAGACTGACTTACCAACAAGTTTCATATAAACTAATCCAAGTAATTCTGCTAGAGCTATAATACCCAAACCTGAAATCAGAAGAGGGCCATGCACTGGGGTGCACTCTGTAAAAACAAGTGAAATTTTATGTTAGAAATCTACATGAAATAAGTGAACTTTTTAAAAGACCCAACAATAACAGTAATATACCAAGTTTTAAGGAGAATAATTCTTTTTCTAATTACTAAGAAACAAAAATTATCTTTATATATATTCAACATTATTCACTTAGCCAGTGAAAGGACTCCAAATTATTAAAAGAAAATGTTTGCATAACATGTACCTATCGCATCAAGATTAATGTAAAACAGTGCATAAAGCCTAAAGTTCCAACCAACTGGAGCCTGGTTATTTAAAAAAATGCTCCTGTAAATGTAGGCGTAGCAGTTTGGCTGCTAGGATAATCAGCCCACAGGCCATATACAGCCAATATTCTCATGGTAATACGGAAACACTATTCTCAGTGGGGAAAAAAAATGAGAGTTAAAAAAAGAAAAGCTCACAAAGCTCACAACACCAAATGCTGGCAAAGATGTGGAGCAACAGGAACTCTCATTCACTGATGGTGGGAATGCAAAATGGCACAGTCACTTTGGAAGACGGTTTGGCAATTTGTTACAAAACTAAATATATTCTTAACAATCCATAGCAATCACACTCCTTGGTATTTACTAAAATGAAGCTGAAAACTTAGGTCCACACAAAAACATGCACATGATGTTTATAGTAGCTTTATTCTTATTCATCAAAAACTGAAAGTGGCCAGGATGTCCTTCAGTAGGTGAATGGATAAAGAGGAGGAAGAAGAGCTCTGTCCACGAGAAATTCCTAGTAAGACAAACTGGGACTAGAGAAGAACATGGCCCTTACCTGAGACACAAAGGCTTAGTCCAACCACAGAAAGCACATAGCCCAGTACCTGAAGGATTAATATGGCAATGGTGAAGGGAGAAATCCGAACACCTAGAGGAAGAAAGACTGGGTTGAGAGCACTTAAGAAGCAATCACACCTCCTTGTAATCCGTGCAACCAAAAATAACATCCAGTGACCAAAGACTGACTCCGGATTTCCTTGTCAGATGGTAGCTTCTTCCCCAATGACCTTAACCTCGCTTTGTCACACAGTAGTTAGTTCCAGATTCATACATTCAGCAGTCTTTTTTTTTTTTTCTTCACAGTGAGCTCAGCTGGACTGGTGCTTTTTACCCAAAATCTTAGAACAGTGCTGCTTTTACCACACTTGCGCATTTTACAGTATGAATGGCTATTATGCATGACTTTGCCACATGCACATAAAATTGCTCTGGTGGAGAGAACCATTATGCAAACACGCCCTTGTAAACATCACAACCTCTGTCTTGTGTGTCTAGATCTGTGATTTTATAACAAATTAATAACTTTTAACCAAGCCAGGGATAAGCTCTAAGACCAAAAGTTAAATGTACAAATAGAAAAAAAACAGACTATAATAATGATAATAATGACAAAAATATGTTAGTGACTGACTCCAAAAAAGCAGTGAAGATTATATCAACTATAGGTTGGATATCTGTATCATCTTTTAAAACTACAATGTTAAGATTTGCCAATAACTAAAAAAGATATATATTTCCACTATTTTTAATTGATATCCCTATTTTGTAGAACCTGTTTTTTTAAGAGGCTTAGCAAAAAAGAAAAAATATGTTTAATATCTACTTATAACTTGAAAAAACTGTAATAAAAACGTGAAGATAATCATTAAGAAATTATATAACATAATTTGAAAAACCCACTGCCTAGCATCAAAGATATATGAAAATTACTTTTTACAAAATAACAGAATGCCTTGAAAACCTAAGCTAACCTTAAATTTAATCCATACAGGGAAAATGTCACAAATAGCTTCGAAAATCTTTTAATAAGCCAACTTTTACTGAGTTGTAAAAAAAAAATACAAGAAATATTTTAACCAAAGATGTTGTTTTTAAAATGAAAAAGGCAGACAAAATCATGTTATAACAAATACTCACCTATTATAAGCACACAGTACTGAAGTAATATTAATATCACTGTAGGAATTACAATTAAACCAAGTCCACAAGAATTCTTTGTTGAATATTCACCTGTTAATAAAAATAATATTTAAAATATTATCCTACATACTTCCTACTCTATAGGAAGTTAAAGTACTTGAACTTACTAAATGTATCAGTCTCAATACTCCTCTTACAAACTTAAAAAGGCTTAAAAATATATTTCTCCCAAAACTTCACACAAAATGACTATTTTCAGATTAAGACCAAACTTATGACATGTAAACGCCACCACCTAAGTCTCAACATGTCAAAACCTTAAACTGGCTTTGCCTCTTCAACTACCTTACAGAATTCCAGGGAGAAACTCTCGAGTCACCTCTTGCCATTCCCTTCACTGGCTATGTTCAATCCGTCCCAAAGTTAAAACAGTTGTTCTCGCAAGTAATCTTCTGAATTCATCTCCTTCCACCCCGTGTTCTAACTCCAGAGGCAAACAGAGCTGCCATATATATGTTCCTAAACATTATATCTATACTGTATTCAGCTCAAAAACAACAATGGCTCTCTCCAGTCCACACTGTGGGTCCCAGGCTACCTTTGCTGTCTTTCCATGGGCCATATACCCTTTCTTTCCACCCCCATTCCCATCCTCCGAACACAAGAGGTTTCAGACAGACTTCCCACATTCATTCCCACTTCCATGTCTTGGCAAATGAAGTTTGCCTCTACAGTGGGTTGAATGATGGCCCTAAAGATATGCCCACCTCCAAATCCTTGGAATCCGTGAATATTAACTTCTGTGGCAAGAGTATTGTTATATAGCAAATGATGATTAAGTTAAGGATCCTGAAAGGAGGAGTTTATCCCGGATTATCCAGGTGGGCCCTAAATGCAATGACAAGTGTCTCTGTAAGACAGAGGCAGAGGGAGATTCAAAAGACACCATGGAGGCAGAAACTGGAATTATGGTGCCACAAGCCAAGGAGTTGCAGACTGCCAGCAAACACCAGAAGCTAGAAGAGACAAAGAATGGATTCTCCCCTAGAACCTCAGGAGGGATTACGGCCCTGATGACATCTTTATCTCAGATTTATGTACTCCAGAACTGTGAGAAAATTTCTACTGTTTTAGGACACGCACTTTGCGGTTATGTGTTACAGCAGCCCTAGGAAACTAACACCTCCCTCCCCACCTCACCAGCCCCTCATCTCCATCAATCCTCTCTCCCTCATATAACAGTGTTTCTTACCTGGGACAAAAAGAATGGCTCCAACAATGACAACTATAGTGAGCACTAGTCCACCAACAAATAAAATGGTTTTCTCCTTCACAAGACTGGCTTTATATTTAATTGCTTAAAAAGAAAACAAAGAATTACATGAACCCAATCACAAAAAGTAAAGCCACTTCTGTAACTTATAAAGTGCAAGGACAAACTGATAACTTACTATAATCAAATCATCTTGGAACAACTCCTTCATATCATGTCAAGCCACCTCAGATCTTTTTCATATTAAGTCAATGTCTAAATATTGTCATGGTAGTATACATATGGATACTTAATTTGAAGGTGACACTTTATTCTCCTTTAAGGAATGAAGTCCCTTTAAGGAATGAAGTTATATATATCAGGCTTTCTCAATTAAGGCATTATTAACATTTTGGACCAGATAACTCCTTGGGCGCGGGGGGCGGGGGGCTGTTCCGTGCACTATACGATGTTTAGTAGTATCCCTGGCTTCTGCTCACTATGTGCTGTTAACAGCCCCCCAGTGGTGCCACCCAAAAATGTCTCCAGACACTGTTAAATGTTCCCTGAGGAGGAAAACCGCCTGAGGTTTACAACTGATATACATAACACTGATGAGAAATAACTGGCTATTACAGTAATATTGAGAAAAAGAGAACTTTATTCCATCTTATAAAAAATTAGTAAAGCATATGAAATTCGAGATAATTTTGTTTTGAAAAAGCAGAATAAACACTGGACAAATCACACCCTCTTGATATCCTGAGGGTAAAAAATGCTTAAATTGTTCAATTAAAATAACTTCTTGAAAATAAACCATAAATACTCAGTAGCACTCATCATACATGTTGTTATTTTTGATGCTAGCTCTACTGTCAAGTATCTGACACCTTCCCTGAAAGAATATAATAGATAAACTTAAAAATATTATAGTTGCCCCTTAAACAACACAGGGGTTAGAAGCACTGACCTCCCCCACCCTGTTCAGCCAAAAATCTGAGTGTAACTTCACTCCCCCAAAACTTCACTATTAATAGCCACTACTGACCATAAGCCTTACCAATAACATAGTCAAGTAACACATATTTTGTATGTTTTATGTACTATATACTGTATTCTTATAATAAAATAAGCTAGAGAGAGGAAAATGTTATTAAGAAACTCATAAAGAAGGGAAAATACATTTATAGTATTGAACCATAAAAAAATTCACATATAAGCAGACCCACAGAGTTCAAACCCATATTGTTCAAGGGTTAACTGTATTTCTTTTCCTATATATTCACCTTTTGGGTTTTGTTTTGGTTAATATTAAAATTAATTTTTCACCAAGAAAGTTGATAAAAGTAACCTAAAAGCAGACTGATACTGACTGAAATTCTGCTGTTTCATATCATGATATTTTCCACACCATTAATCAATGAGTGTCCTGAGGGGAAGATTTTTAAACGTATTTAGCATTTAACTTGCTTCCATTAAAATGACAAACAGGTCAAATATACTAAAAAGAATAAATAAACCCCTAAATGACCATAACAAAATCTACATATAAGGTATTAAAACCTAGGGTCCCATTATAACCTTAGTTAAGATCTTAAGGTACGATGCAGGCACCTGAAGATTTTTTTACAACTCTACCTATTTTAGGTTGCTATCATCCTTTAGATTGTAACCTCAACTTTATCTCTTTAGGGGGAGACGGAGGGCTAAGCAATAATCCGTCCTGAAGCTGAATAACCGAATCCACATTCATCAGAAAAGAGTGAGAATCAATCTGGCAAGTTCCCCAAGCTTTCATTTGATCCATCCAGCCTTGAAACTTATATGACTATGACTCAGTCATGTTCCTGACTTATTATAAGGCACAGATTTTCACATCTTTCCTATTCTCTAAGCTCAAACACTGTCTAGGATGAAATTCCAAGTATAAGTCACAAAGGGCACAAATACGGTTAAAAAAAAAACAAAAAAACTTTGTCTAGACATACGTCAGGTTTTCCATTTAGACCTATGCATACCTGTTATCTGAATAGAATTTGAAAGTTCTGCAAAGGGGTTATGAAATAGAAACTGTGTTTCAAGTGTACTTCACAATCAGTCAAACATTTATGAGACTCTTCCAGGTTTAATTCAACACACAGAAGAGCTACTAAGATCAAGCGGCAAGAATTCACCTTAAAGTACAGTAGAAGTTCATGCAAAAAGGCAGACATATCATTCTTAACAAAAAATCAGAGTGTGAACTTCATACAAAATTCCACCTTTTCAGACTTAGAAGAGCTCTAGGAGAAAAATAATGCCAACAACAGTCACAAAAATAAACCATCAGCAAATGCTACTATTGAGAGTGTTTTACCACAGAATGGCCTTTTCAAACCTTGGCATGTAAGGATGTTGGAGGTAACTGTTGTTCCTGTTAATTGGTTCAACTACTACTTCTTCTCAGGGCTACCTTCCTCTTCCTTAAATTAAGCAGCCATTTCTACCAAATATATTAGTGGGGTCTAACTTATGCAACCATAGGCAACGAAAGAGTATCTCCACGTTTTCTTTAGTGAACCTTTAAAAAGAGTTTCTTCTGACTCATTTTCTTGCTTATGATGTAGGTCCCACACTAAGTGTGGAGAAAATATCTTGTTGCTAACTCAGCTGCCAATTTTTTCAGTATAGCTAAAGGGTCAGGAATCTGATACAGATGCCAGATAACTCAATAATCTCAAGGATCTGTTATTGGTGATTTTTTTCTAGTCCTTTATTAAGTAGACTTACCCTTATTTATCAAACCTATCAAAACTTTAAATGTAACAGAAAATAAATTCAAGTGATTTCCTAAACACTTAGCATTAAGATAAAGATAATATAACACCTTAACTGCAGGCTCTTATCAAACTCCCTTGCTGTTTGGCAAGACAATCTATGTAATTTTAAAAATCAGTATGCTTTGGGGTGCCTGGATGCCTCAGTTGGTTAAGCATCAACTCTTGATTTCGGCTCAGGTCATGATCTCAGCGGCGTGAGATCAAGCCTTGCATTGGGCTCCATGCTCAGTGTGAAGTCTGCTTAAGATTCTCTCCCTCTCCTTCTGGCCCCACTCCCTGCTTGTGCGCACTCACTCTAAAAATAATTTTTAAATAAATAAATAATAAAAATAAATAAATAAAAATCAGCATGCTTTAAAGGATTCTCCTCAGCAATTAAAAAAAAAATCCTCAGCCAAAAGTACTGAAATCAATACACAAATAAAATATGAGCAATAACACTATTTATACTTTTTTAAGACTTTATTTTTTTAGTGTAGTTTTAGTTTTATGACAAAACTGAGAGAGAGGTACAGAGAATTCCGTTATATCCCCTATCCTCACACATACATAACTTTCCCCATTATTACCATCACTCACCAGAACAGTACATTTTCTACCAAGGATGAGCCTACACTGACACATCATAATCATCCAAAATCCCTAGTTTACCTTAGGGCTCACCCTTCGTGTTGTATGCTCTTGGGTTTGGATAAATGTATGACGCCCATCCATCATTATGATACCATACGGAGTATTTTCATTGCCCTAAAAATCCTCTGTGCTCTGCCTGTTCATCTCTCCTCCACGCCTACCCCTGACAATCACTGATATTTTTTTTTTTTTTTAAGATTTTATTTATTTATTTGAGAGAGAGAGAGCATGAGAGGGGGGAGGGTCAGAGGGAGAAGCAGACTCCCTGCCGAGCAGGGAGCCCGATGCGGGACTCGATCCTGGGACTCCAGGATCATGACCTGAGCTGAAGGCAGTCGCTTAACCAACTGAGCCACCCAGGCGCCCAATCACTGATATTTTTATTGTCCCCACAGGTTTGCCTTTTCCAGAATGTCACAGAGTTGGAATCATACAGTATGTAGCCTTCTCAGATTGACTTTGTTTAATATGTATTTAAGTCTCCTCCATGCCTTTTCATGGCTTGACAGTTCATTTCTTTTAATTGCTGAATAATTGTCCATTGCATGGATGTACGACAATTTATCCATTCACCTACTGTAGAACAGTAAAGCTGCTATAAATACCTGTGTGCAGGTTTCTGTATGGACATAAGTTTTCAACTCCATTTGGATAAATACCAAGGAGCACAATGCCAGGGCATATGGAAAGAATATATTTAGTTTTGTAAGAAACTGCCAAACTGTCTTCCGAAGTGGCTGTACCATTTGCATTCCCACCAGCAGTGAATGAGAGTTCCTGCGGCTCTACCACCTCATCAGCATTTGTTGTTGTCAGTGGGCATATTTTTAACACAAACCTATAACCCTAATGCTGCCACAAAGGAATACCATATATATGGGGAAACTATCACATTTTTGACAATAAATTAGGAATTCTAAAATTTTCCCCTTTTACACCTTCTATAAAATAATTAAATATAGCAAGTTACTTCTCAGAAATGAGCTAGGTTGATTAATTCATTTATTTTAGAAATGTTCACTATGTACCTACAATGTAGCAGGCCCTTTTATTAGCCCAAATCATACAAATCAAGGTACAGGTAGAAGTTTATGCAACAATAATTGATTATGCACCTACTATGTGATAATCACTACTCTAAATGCTGGCATTGAACAAAATAGCCAAATCCAAATACTCCTGCCTCAAGGCCCTTATATTCATATGTGTGTGTGTGTGTGTGTGTGTGTGTGTGTGTGTGTTGGGAAGGAGCAGGAGTGAGGATGGAATGTTACTCCCTGACCTTCTTTCCCAATTCAATAAATAAAAGGTATGAGTCTAATTTAGCCTAAAAGAGCCCCTTCATGTATTTAATCTTCAAATTCATGTGAATAAAACATGACATGTCCCTCTAGCCACCTGAAGAAACAGCTAATGTTATAAACAGATACTCCATTTAAGTTTTCTTGTCTCCTTGTAACTGATATAAAGGACATACAAGACAAAATGCAGGTTGTAGCTGATAAATTTCTAGTGAAATTACCAGATCAACCTGGAGATCAAATAAAATCTACCACCTTAGGGCACCTGGGTGGCTCAGTCGTTAAGCGTCTGCCTTCGGCTCAGGTCGTGATCCTGGAGTCCCTGGATCGAGTCCCGCATCGGGCTCCCTGC